GCTCTATCAAATTCAGAAATATTATAATTAAAAACAGAAATATTTTATAAGATTTCTTTTTTCCCGATCCCCCAACATTTATTTAAAATTTACACTATATACATTGATTACAATATTATATACTAGTAGGCCCGTGCGAAAAATTCGCACAGCATATTGTTATCAAATGCTAAATTAATAAGAAAATGAAATAATGCAACGCATCAAAAGATAAAGAAATCTATTGTCACTTTATCCATAAATATAATCGACAAAGGAAACAAAAATTAATTTTAATCTTCATTCTTGTTTGGAGCCAACATGTTTACAAATTTTGATTATCTGTATCTTTGCTAAAAATTGTCCAATTTCGATGATTTTTTTTCTTTTTGTAGGAAATTTTGTAATCTTTTATATAATAATGGACATGAAGGAATATAATGTTTTAGTTATTCGCAAATAAAGTTTTTTTTTTCATAACTTGTTTGCCTGAATTTTCGGGGTGATTGGACTATTTTGCCCGCCTGAAGGAGAAGGAATCCTTCGAAATTGGAGGCTCAATCTTGAGATTTGGTGAAGAATTAACGATGATATGGCTTGCCGATCAAAAAAACCATCGATAAATAATATAAACTCCTCCTCTCTCGATCATAGAGACCTCAAAGTCGACGAAATGAAGCATGTATTCAATGACAATACTACAATTACCGTAAGGTCGTGTGAATGTGAACCCTATGCCTTGCGTTATCTCGAAAATAGTACGTTTTTGGGCCCGGATCCGATAGTTCCGGAGGCTCTCGGCATTAAAATCTTCAAGGTCCAATTTGTCCCGTACAAGATCTACAGATCTATTACCATTCCAGTGTTGACGTGCTTCTCCAGTGTGACGCCAAGGTAGAGGATGGAGGTGGAGATCCGCTGGTTCACACTACTGAATGGTGAAATGGGTGTGCAGAGGCTTCTTTGCTTTCTGGAAATACATTATTATGGAATCGGTTTTTGCTGGGTTCACTCTGATACCAATCATATCAAGTTTGTTGACAATGAAGGTTGAGGCGTCCTGTGCCTGCGTCCTCACCCAGGCACGGGCGGATCTACGGGCTGAAGCCTCTCCCCCCTCCATAAAAAAAATAGTAAAATATAAATGGGAAAAAATATCTCTTAAAGTATTATAGTTAATTACATTTAAATGGACTTTATGAATCAGTTAAACACTATTTCATATAGGTAGTTAGTTTATTTATTTTTTCCAAAGTAATTATCGTTATTTTCATGAAAAAAAAAAATCTTCCGGGCTGAAGCCTCCCTCCCCAAAATTAAATCCTGGATCCGCTAGTGCAACCAGGCACAATGCCTGCGTTAAAGCTGAATGCGTACAAGCCATTATTGATTTGATACGATGTATAAATTCTGTTTATTTATAAAAATAAGAATAAACATTTCTGATTCTACAAGAACCAGCTCCACTACCTTCACAGCGTCGCACTATCTTGATATATTATTTCTCAAAGGCCTTATTTTTTTTTTTTGGAAAAATATGAATTGTTGTATTATCAAACATAAAATCGTGCTACAGAAATTTCCTGAAAAAAATTGTAAAAAAATGAGAAACTTTATTTGTGTGTAAAATATATTGTATTAACTCATTTCTCTATATTCTATTCATTTCTACACTAATATACTAGGCGAATTATTCGCACGGGGCAACCAGCTTATACTTATTTAAAAGAGGTAATAGTTAATATAAATCCAGCAGTAACAAACGATAGTTGGAATCAATCAATCTTGGAAGAACACTAATGCTAAATTTTTACTTATGAAGCCGAGCTATGATGAATTTTATTTAAAATATTTTGAAAAGAGAATAGATTCCGTTGCGTTAGCTCTTTCAGATTTGTAAAATCGTGGTCAGTGACCGAGGAGAGGAGAGTAGAAGAGACCAGTGAGCTTGAGTGGTCGAGAGAGAAGTTAGCAACTGAACCAAAACTGCTTCGGATCACGAAATCTATCCGGCGGTTCTGCCATTTTTGCAATTTCTTCTCAACAACTCCTTTTGCAAATCTTTTCATTTACAAGGTTCTACAAAAGTGTGCTATGTAAATAAACAAATAAAATAAACATGAAGTATTGTAATGTTTAGCTTTTGAGGCATTGTTAAAATCAATACTAATGCTAACTGGATAGGGCACACGAGGCTCACTCGTGGTCACCTCCTCGATGGTAATTCGACACTAAGGTGCCGCAACTGCAACATACCTTTAAGAACTCAACATATTATAGTCCATTTTTTGAGCTTGGATCAATCAAGAACATCGTAAAAAAAAATCTGGTCACAAAAAAAAAAAAAAAAACACAACTTTCACTTACTCTTTGAACTTTGAATAAAAATTATTTTCTGACCATGTTAGGCTATTATAAAATGTTTTAAATTGCATTTTAAACTGAGCTAAAGCTAAAAAAACACAAATGCTATTAAAATAACAAAAGTCCTATTTATTATGTCACCGGTTGATTATGGATTGTACGATTCGTTGATTATTGATTGTTCGATCCACTGATTATGGATTGTTCGACTATAAGTCATTAAACTGTTATTTTCCATTGCAAAGTTTAAAACGGAATTAAGAGATTTCCAGAGTCTGTCATAGACAGGTCAAAAGTTGTCACACTAATTGTAAGTAGTAGTCACACTAACCATAAGAAAAATTATCAAACTATTCACTAATTTAATTTTCTAAAACGTTACATGATGATTTTTCGGAATAAACGGACGATAGATATATAAATATTTAAATATATTATGAGATCTAGAGTTATTGAACTACAGTATATATATTTAGGGTTATAAACATATGTATGAAATATTTTTGTATTTCATTTCTTTTTTCACACAAGTACAATTAAATTTAAGTAGAAAACAAGTACAAAACGTATAAATCCGTCGAAAATGCAGATTCAAAAATTTTCTCGATCGCAATACTTACACTTACTATATATTACATATATAGTAAGTGAAAGTAAAAAACATCTTATTGCCTACCGGGATATCGGCAAGCCCTAGAATAAGAAAATTTGAAAGCTAGAATAAGAAAGCCTTAGAAGACCAATTTTATGAACAACACAATCACTACAGACATATTTAAACAACGCAACCCTTATATACCTTTCATACATCAGAACTAACCTATGTAGTTGCAACAACGGATTATTTATAAACATATCTTAACAACACAATTTCTCCTGAAACACTATAATCTTTTACAGACATTTTTCTATTGAATATGTAATTGAAATGAATATGAAACTGAAAAAGATGCCTCTAACCTACGTAGTTGCACATGGCACCTAAATACAACTAAATAAATAAATAACTGGATAGCTAACTTATTAAACTAAAACTTATAGTAATTTCTATCATGGCGATATTTACTTCTGGCATAATTCTTTTGAAATAATTAGTAGATGCGGTTAAAAATAATATATTAAAAATAAAGCAAATATAATTTCTGTGAAGGTTTAAAACCTAGTATTGAGTATTGATTTTTTTTTATTAATATCATACATAAATAATAAAGTATCAAGGATACTGACATTTTATTATATTTTCATTTGAGCGCAATTGGCCGATGGATTGATACTCATTAAAAAATATTTTACATTTGCTAATCTGTCTGCAACTAATGGTTCACAATTCAACTGGCGGCCAAATGAAGTTAGATAGAAAATATATAGGTAGAAAACATACCTAGAGAGGGCCTACAATAACCGTGGATTTAGTCGAAAATGTTAATTTACTATTCAAAAAGTTCATTTTTTTTTTTTCGATTTTTGGCTTATAACAGTGAAACTATGAGTTCTATCAATATAACGTTCCATATGACATTCAAGTTGACGAAATTTGCAACATGAATGTTTATATTAATTATTCCGTTATTTTCTGTTGTTTACGATTTTTGATACGATATCCGCCCTCATAATTCATTAACTTCGAAAAATAAAAATGTTTTTGATTTGTATTTTTATCGTTATTTTTGGCTCCCTAATTTTTTTACCTTTTTATTTTACGAAAAAGTCATTAGGGAGAAAGTAGTTTAGCATTAAATTTTCTCTAAGTATGTATGTGTGTGTGTGTGTGTTTGTGTATGTATTACTGCACTATATTATCTTCAACCATTCAAAAGCTAGACCAATTATAACTTATGCTTAAACTCGGAAGCTATGCATAAAAACTTATTTTCCACAATTTTCGTTATGATACAGTTTTTAATCTTTCTACAAGCAAATATATATATGTATACATTGTTTCATATAATAAACACACACACACACACACACATATATATTGCCTTATATAATAATTAATAGCTGTATCAAAACGAAAATTACAAAAAGTAAGTATTTTTGGTAAGTAGTTTTTAATACAAAATAGTAAGATTGTGTATTAATTTTAGAAGAATTACACATTTTACACTCACAGACACACACACAAAAAAAAATGGTTATTGGTTTATTCTAGGACGATTACGACATAGTAAAGAAGTAAATGATTTAAATCACGCAACAGTAGTTTCAGATAGGCACATCAATTCAAATGTTTAATGAATAATTGTACCATATACGACAAAAAATCCAAATAACACCAAAGTTTTAGAGCTTCTTAATTTACAAGGATTTTTATTATTTCTCATTATATTTTTATTCTCAAAAATTGCACGGAAAAGCTGAACTACAGCACCCACAACCACGGGTTCAATTTTTAATCTTCCTTACAGTAGATTTAGTATTAATTGGAGTGCAGTAAAATTCGAATTTAGAAACATATCGATACTCGAATTCATTCTACATTGCTGAGCAAAAATAAATTAAATTAATATTTATTCCGATATTTTAAAATATTTCTTAAAATAGTATATTTAATAGATATTGAACGTAGCTCTGTTATTTACACCCCGATAATCCCAACATATAGGCTAGCTAACTAACATAACGTGCCTAGCCCTGACATATAAGAGACAATCTACATGAGAGGGAGATTCTCGAGGGACGGGCCTGTAGGTGGGCTGCTCCTGACAGCCTTGGAAAGCAACAGTGTCTTTGACAGACCCTCGGGTCTACGCAGGGATGCAGTCTGGACATATGAGTAACATCACTCCTTGTTAAAGCTACCGGACTAGAGTCTTGGGAGAGAAAATATCAACAGTTGAAATTCCGTTCTAATCAGAACTCTTCAAGGCTTCAAATAAGCTTGTGAAATCCGCCACACTTACATTTTATACGATATACAGTTTATTGTATCAAATATGTATACACTGGCAGCCAAAAAATTTCACCCACTTGATTTTTTCATGTTTTCATCTAAAAATATTTCTGCCACTTGTAAACAAGTTGTGTTTGTATATAATACGTGGTATTTGTAGATAATACTTAGTATTTATGGAATTTTATAATCTATTTTACCTTTAATAATCAAAATGTGATTGGGTAAGAAAGATTAGAGAAAAAAAATTGAAAAACGAACCATTATTATTCTAAAAGAAATTAATTACATCATCGTTTAGTAGCGCGTGTTTCCTCCTCTTGCCCTCACTACTTCTTGAAGACGCCTCGGCATACTTTCCACTAGTCGGGAAATGTCCCTTTGCTGGAGGATAGCCCATTCCTCCCGAAGAGCACTGTCAAGGTCCTACAGTATATCAGGAAGTGTTGCACGCGCTCTTATTCGTCTTCCGACGTTATCCCATAAATGCTCAATGGGGTTCAAATCTGGAGAACGTGCTGGCCAGGCTAAAACCTCAGTATTGATCTGTTGATGGAACGCCTGCACTATGCGGGCGACATGTGGGCTTGCATTATCGTGCATTAGAATAGAAGGATCACCGATTTCATTGGGGATAGGTAACACATGAGGTTCCAAAATCTCATCTACATAGCGAATGGCCGTCAAAGACCCTCCACGAACAACAACCAATTCTGTGCGGCGCTCCACTGAAATCCCAGCCCACACCATTAAGGAACCACGTTGGAAAGGTTGGCTCTGGGAAAAATTACAGGCTGCATATCTTTCGTTTCTTCTTCTCCACACCCTTTCACGCCCGTCTGGAGATCGAAGAGCGAATCTTGACTCATCTGTAAAAAGTACAGCACTCCATTCGTCCATAGTCCAATGGCTATGTTCTCGAGCAAAAGCCAGCCGTGTTACTCTGTGAGTTCTGGTCCTCTTACTGGACGAAAAGCCATTAATCCATACTCATTTAATCTTCTCCGAGCGGTACGTTCAGAAATTTGCACACCTTGAACTTCTTCGAGCTGATGAATCGCTTGAACAACGGTAAGGTGCCGGTTTCTTAAAATTTTCAAAGTCAAAAACCGGTCATCCCGTGATTCTGTTACCCTAGGCCGTCCAGAACCGGGCCTTCTATTGTAAAAACCAGTTTCTCGAAAACGCCTGACGGCGTCTCGTAAAGTATGGAACTCCGATGGCATTAGCTGCATATCTAATGGAAGGTCCATCATCAATAAGTGCCACACCACGCGCAACATCCTCAGCACTAAGAAGCATTTTTAAACTTAATATTGAAAAAATTAAAAGCCGGGGACTAAGAAATGTGCGGGAAGAAACGGCACTGAACTAATGATACTGAATAAACATTTTATTCCATAGAAAGTGAACATTGGAATCTAGAATAATTTCATTGAATTAAGGATTAAGGGTTATTGTCCTCTATGTTAACATTCCTAATTGAAAACAAACAAAAATATTACCTATTTATTCATTGAAAACAATAAACCAATCCAAAGCAGAAATATTTTTAGATGAAAACATGAACACAAAAAAAAAAATCAAAAATCATGCGAAAGACATTTAGAAGTTCAATTTATATTACAATTCTATTATTTTTTTTCAGGTAAACATTGATAGAATATTAAAATTACAACTGTTTTACAGAAAAATAATAAAAATAGAAATGGGATCTCGCTGACAGTTCTCGGATGTTAACCAGTTAATCAGAAGTAGTTTTTATCTGTTTATTATAATTATTTTTCTGTGTTCTGCATGCTTTAACTTCTATAGGAGGAAAAATCTTTTTTTTTTAAATTAAATAAATACCATCGTCAAGATAAACTGAGTTGTTTTTTGGAAATTTAATGAAAACTTTGTATTTAGATATATCAACTTTCGTTGAGTATCAACCAACTGATGACAGTAACAAGGTACACATTCACGAAAAACCGTATTTCTCCCCAAAGGTTTATCTCGGTAACCATTTCTTTTGTGAAATAAACCACCGCTCGAGACAGGAATCGGAAATTATTACTAAACTTGGAAAGTTCCAATTCATTTCCCTTTTAAGGGGAAGGGTCGGAAAAGGGCAAACTGCACTTCGCCAGAGAAGAGAGAGAGAAGCCGTTGGGAATAGAGAGGAGGAGAGGGAGGTTGGAAGGGAGAGGAATGACAGCTGGGGGTAGGTCACTAATCCACCCCGTCCCTCCCCCCTCGTCAGGGTTCGGAGCCTCGCCTGTTAATTCTCTGATCTCAGCCGAAATCAAATTTGCATTTGGCCTCTCCCGAGTCCTGAGGGAAATAGAATATTAGTTCTCCTGTCAGCCAGAGAAATAGACTGAGATGGGATTGGTTCAAAGTCGGAAGAAATTGTTTAGAGTTGTTTCTTGGAATTGCTTGCATATTTATTTACCCTAAAGTAACAACTATACATAGCTAATGGCAATGTATAAGAGTAGACAGGTTGGTTATAATGCAATCCTTTTTTATTCTTTTCTAGTTTTCAGAAGATCCTAAAAACAAATACGATCAAATTGATTACAATTTGACTATGTAATTACTATATTTATTTATTATAAAATGATAAAAAAAATAAAGAAATAAAACAGAACCACCACAATATTTTTAATATTTTCATTAACTTTACTGAAGGGTATATAATGGATAATCTTAAACAGTCCATTCAACGCAACGCAAGATCTGTAAGATCTCTGAAGTAATAAGGGGAGAAAAACAAACAGCAGAGAAATTTGAGTAATGTATGTCTCTTTGATGTTGTTTAATGGCGCAGAAAATTCATTGCTCATCAACGCGAATTTTAACTTTTAATTAATTTTACATGTTCATTATAGGTACTATTTATTCATACTTATTTTTTTTTAAATTTTATTGATTTATTTATTAATTTTTATTATTAATAAATAAAATAATCGAAGACTATTTAGGTGAGAGGTAAAATATGCGCGTTCTTATTAAATATGTTATATTGTTTTGATACAATTAAAATGTTTTAATTTCGGTTGCGCTCCTTTGTGAGGAGATAAAAATGAGTAAGACTAGTGTAGCCTATTCTAAGTCAAGTCAGTATTATTTCCTATCTACAACACTTGAAGCTAGAGGCACCGGAGGGGTTTTCATCCCTTTTTATAATTTTTAGGCTGCTCAGTGGCTCTGTGCTTTTAGACTTTCATTCCACATGGACTGCTATGAGACTTTAATTTTATCTCTGAAGGGTTTACTAAATTCTGATGGAGTTGAACTACTTTGCCCCTCTAGGTAGCCAAAGCGCTTTTCTTGCGGTTCGATCAGCCAAATCGTTTCTTACAGTTCCTAAGTGGCTTGGGACACCTATAAATTTAACTGTCTTATCTAGATTTTGTGAAGTAGTTAAGTAGAAGTAGATGCAATTAATTTTCGGATGTTTCTGATTCATTCAGAATAATTAAGGTTGCTATACGTATGTGAGTTTATTATAAAAGTAATATAACTATAATACATCGATTACTATATTACTACTATGTGTGGAGTGTATTTAACGGTAACAAAAAAAAAATGTAAATTACTATTTCATAAAACCTCATTTTATGAATTTTTATTTTATTTTTTTAACTTGTATATTGAAAAATACTACAACCTGTCTCAATGGATATTTATAATAGTGTTCAGAGATCACATTCGTACTCTATGTGCAATAAATAAAAATAAATTATACAGAAAAATAATATATATACAATAAATAAGAATGAAATTATCTAAAAATAAATGATTAGAAAATAACACATACATACCTATATACACTATGTACAATCAGGCGAGAGAACTCCGAGCCAGACCTGTCCCTCCAACTGTTGAGGGAAAAGCATGACTCCAGGAGATCCTTACACTTCTCTCTCAACTGCGTCACTGGGGCTAAACCCAGTGGAGATTGAGCAAGAGTGCTTTTAACACAACTAAACTAATTAGATTAATCCTATAGAGTCTTAAGCCGCAATAAAACTTACAAAATAAAACAAATATACAAACATTTTTTGAAAATAAGAATTTAAATTAATATGAAACAAATGTGTACTTTTTAAGTTATCGCTAATCGAATTTTATTACCCCTCGCAACTTTTTTTGGGTGAACTATGTTGCCATTAATGTTGCCCAAATGCGAGACCGAGACGAGTCTTGTTCTTGCAAACTCAGTCTAGGTCATGGTCTTGGTCTTGAGCAAGAATATCGCAACAGTCTTGCAGTTACGCAATTTCTTATTAGCTTATGACTTTAGAGATATTACTGCATTTTTTTAGATAGGAGAAACCTAACTAAGCCCGAATGAAAAGTTAGAGGAGTTAAATGCAAAATTAGATTGGTTATACCAATTATTAACATACAGTAAGTAAGATTGTCAAGTATTAGTAACTATTTTGCCTTAATTTTTATTTAAAAAATCGATTTTTTTACCAGTCTTGGTCTTGCAACAATTAGGTAGCCTTGGTGTTAAGGTTGCAAGTGCAAGACCAAAACCGATTTTGGGCAACACAACCCGCAATCCTGAAAGAAAAGGGCGGATGTTAATACCGAGTTCCGAGGACCATCTTCGGGTGCCCTTTGACATTCATACTGAAAATCTTGCGGATGTTGGACTAACGGATTTTTTTTATTTGTATTCGATATTCGTGTCTTGAAACGTAAAATCTCAAATTTTGAGGGTGAGGGTTAAACTTTTTTTCTTGGTCGATAAACAAATGGTGATTATTGTAAATAGTATTCCTAAAATATTTTTTTTTTAAGTCGCAGAAAACTGTTGAGTTTAGTTTCAGAGATTTGTAACATATAAACATTTTTTTCCTTTTTCATGATTCTGATCTATCAGAATGATGATTCAGTAACAAACGGATTCCATAAACTGTTTATTATTACCAAAGAACATAAAAGAAATTGGCAATATGGTCGATCAGGATTTGGTACTGGTTGCACGACATTACCTCTTATCAACACGTCATCAGAAAACGCTGGATATCAAATATAGATTCATCTGATGATATTCAATGAAATAAAAGTCATGTTATTCTATCAAGTAAATCGAAAGTTGAAATAGATAAAAATAAACCTACCTGTTTGAATTAATATTTATTCATTATTAAAGATAAATATAGATATTTTCATTTAAAATTTTAGAGGATAATGAATTAATGTTGAATCCGTTACGATCATAGACTACTAAAACTCGTACTAATTAATTTCTAACATCTATATGCACTTTCAATTATTTAACAGGGGCAAACATATTTTCTGTACTGAATAATATTTCTATATATAAAATAATGTTATAACGGATGCTGAAATACGATATTAAAATAGTGAGAACTTAAATGTCGAGGACTGAGGTAAAAACACCGCAGTATTACCTCCCTTGAAATTTCTTTAGAAAAAAACAACATATAAGAGTGAACCATAAGAAAAAAAAAACGTACCACTGACAACCCATGAAGGTTCAGTACACTGAATAAATACTGTTACAAGGCCAACGGTTGTGCAGGGAGGTGATTGGGCCGATATCACGCTCGACCGCCAGGTTTTCACTCTTCTTTAATTACTGAATTAAGAGCACCCACTTTTAGAGGCTGGATATCTCCCAAGGGGGTCTCCCGGCCCCAGGGTCGATCCACGCCCGATGAAAAGTTACTAGTCATCAGCCGGATTCGAGCCTGGGAGCTCTGGAAGTCAGTGACAACTTACTCTCTCAATCATAAGAAAAATACAACGAATATGATGGAGTCATAGATGATTCTAATTGGGATTTTTTTAAACACCGATTTACACAGTTAATTTTCTTCATCAAAGTCTTTAAGAAATTTGACTGTGTGAACGAGTTTGAATTGCTGTCGAGGACAAAATATAAACAATTTTGGAAATTTTCGCTAGGACTATTGCAGCTATCCTCGTGTTATATTTATCATCATCAGAACCTTCAAAATCAAATTTATAAAAGTTTAACTTTGATTAAATTTTCATTAAATTTCATCGTAATGATAAGTCATTAATGATTCATGAGTACGTGAGGTGTGGATTTTTATATGTTATCACACAATTAACAACCCATCAAACTCATTCGATATTAACTCGGAGTTGATGACGGAATAATCTAATAATAATCGGAATAATAATAATAATCTCCCAAATTGAAATATAAAATATAAAAAATTTTTTTTTCTAAAAAAGGTTTAATTAATTATAATACCTTTTGAATAAAAAATACCCAGGAAACAGAAGGAAGAAGGAAAAGCCAAGAAGCCATTTATAATATTATGAATTTCATAGAATATAGGAATATGGATTTAAGTGTTCTTCTCTTGGTTAATGAGTAATGGTCCATGAAGAAATTGGAGAAGCGAGAAGGGTATTATTTACAGGAAATGGAGTTCATAATGGAAGCTAAGTCTCAGCTTCCAACATTTCTTTCATATGAAATATTTTGCAATTGCATGTAATAATTCATCTGATGTAAATATATAATTTTGTTTTTACATCATTGATACCGGTATTTAAAGTAAACTACTAATAATAATTGCCAAACAATCCTTATTATATAAATGTAAATAAACAAATGAATTAAATTTATAAAAATGAAACATCCCATAGATTGCCAATTGGGTATATATTGCATAATAATCATTATCAATTTGAGTGTAAAAAATACAATCTGAACGTGATTTCAATTAACTTCTTACAAACCATTAAACTAAATTACTGATTCATCAAACTTTGTATTCGTGTGGGAGATTATAATTATATTTTATGCCAACACTTAAATATTCCAATCTCGATTTACATTGTAAACATCAAGGAACAAATTTTGTCTTTTCGATGCAGACAGCAGTGAATCCCATGTCACGGCCATATCACGAACTATTGTCAATTGGATTTTGATGAAATTCTCCTAGAATGTGGTGAAGAACACCTCATTTGTACCACTTTCTCTTACTTTACTTACTTTTCATTTGAATTTTCCCTTTTCTGATGCCAACATATTTCAAAATCAGTTTGTTAGATATTGCTCAACGTTGAAAGCAAATTGAGGATTGATAACAAATTTATCAAGTAGGAATAAAATTTTCGAATTACATCCACCGCTTTGGGAGTAAGGTTGCAAAAATATATTTTCATTGATACGTATATTTCTTTTTTTTGTGTGTGTTATTCATGAAATTTACAACTGTATAAAAATAAATAAATGCGTTAAAGAGAAATACAATGATGTAAAAAAACTTGTAGAGAATCTACCCATTGGCAGCACTCACCTCACATTTCAAAAACGGATCGTTCGA